CCCACCAAAGGGCCACAACCGTGCTGCGCGCGTGGCCCAGCTCCACGCCCACGCACCCAGCCTGGCCAGCCCTCATTCCCGCGAGGCCCTCTGAGGTGGGCCCCGGGGACGTCGGTAGCTTCGTCGAGCGAATGAAAACTGACCCTTCGCACGCAGATGGGCAGCCTGACAGAGAACAGAAACCGGGGAGCGGGGACGCGGCGCTTAGAGGGGCGCCCTTAGAAACAAAGCCTCTTCCTGCAGGCTGGAGGGTGCGGAACGCAGGACTCCCGCAGGGTGTCCCCGTTCCAGCGGTCTCCCTAGGTCAGCTCCCCTAAGCTGCCACGAAAATTACAAACGCCAGCACCACAGGCAAAGACGACTCCCCTACTCAGGAGAGGGGCGAGGAAAGAGCTGTTGCCCAAGCCAGGACAGACAGGCAGTCTGTACTGGTGAATTCCCCCTCCGCTGTCTGAAATCCACCTGGGGGAAACTGGTCCCCGAAGCCTCAGGCCGCAGCTTCCCCGCAGAGCGCGGAGCTGGGCTCTTTGGTTGGGCGGTGGCGAGCTCCTCGCCAAGAGATCCATTCGGGGAGAGAGTTCCTTCAAGAAGTCGTTTATTTCCCGGCTTGGCGCTGCTCGCGCCGCTCCTGAGACTGGACTCTCAGTAACCACTCTCCAGTCAACGCCATTGAAAATTGACTGACATCTCTAGGGCTTGCTCCCGTCCCCTCCTAGGCTGGACCAGGGAACGGCGCTCCTCTCTTGGGGCCCCTGAAGGCCCCCGAGGGCCCCAGACTCCGGCAGCTGCTGTGGGGCTTCTGCCCCGCAGCACAGCCCGGGGTGCGACCTGGCCCTCCCTGGGAGAGAGCAGCGTCAACTATCCGGCCCAGCGACTCTTATCAGGGTTCCCTGAGGAGCTCTGGACATCCTGGGTCCGGACAGGGGCCCGACCGAAGGCTGTGGACTCTGGGAATCCTGGATTTGGGGCCCGTCCTGTGTGGCTCCCTCGTAGGGGATGGCAGGTAGTAGGGGCGGACCCATGGGATCCTTTTCAAAAAGGGGTGGGAGGACATGTGGGGGGGGCTCGCGGTCAGGGACGCCCGAGGACAAAAAGCCCTGGGCTTTTGTCCTGCTTCTGCCCTGCGGTCCATTAGCGCTGTTGGAGCCGAGCTCCTTGCCACGCCCACTGGAAGATGAGGGGTGGCCTAGGGCGGATGCCGAGGTCATGACAGGGGTCCCGGAATCGCCTCTCTCCCTTTGTACCCACTGCCCAGGAGGGCAGATACACAACCTCCCGCCAGAGAAGCGAGTTGCTGAGTCTGCCCGGTGCTACTGTGTTCCGGCCACTTTCCCAGTCGTCCCCTGGAGTGGGGTGCTCTAGAGCTTCTGAGTTGCCTCTGGGTGACCCCTGCCGCACTCTAGGGGAGCCCAGAGGCTCTTTGCACAGCCGCACTAGCAGCTATGCAGAGGATCTGCTGTGCTGGAGGGCGCGAGCCCTCCTTCCTCCCCAGTTCAGTCCGGCTCCAGCGCAAAGTCGCCGTCGGG